GGCTTTATTTTCATTCTTTTTAACTCCACCTTTGTTTCGGTAACATTCACTGATATTCGTCGTATCTTCTTCGGCCTCGGCAGGTTTATTTTTGGTAGGTTTTTTTGCTCCTCTACTCCATCTGACCCTACTTCTAAATCCTTCAACTTTCTTTATCCATGATTCGCAGGTGTAATCCAGGTCTTTACTTTTTTTGGTAAGTTTTTCTACGTCTTCTTTCTTTTCATCATCTTCTTCGTCTACGATCGTCTCATCGTCGTCATCATTATCTTCTTCATTTTCGTCAGCTTCGTTGTCGTCATCTTCATCTTCGGTTTCACCTACGATTTTTCCGATTCTCGCAGGTACGTTTTCCTCATACTTTTCTTTTTTTTCTTCTTTAGTTTTTTCCTTTTCTTCTCTTTTAACTTCAACTTCTTTTTCTTCGTCCTTTTCAACTCCAGCCGCTTCCTTTTCGACTTCAATTTCTTTCTTTTCTTTAACCTCCTTAACTCCAACTTCTTCGCAGTAAGGTCCAACTAGGTATGTTTCTTTGGCGCCTCCTATTCTAGCAACCTTTATGCGATCGTCAGATAAGTAGTTATTTTTTTCTTCAGCTTCTTTCTTTGTCGCCTTAACATCACTAACTTTCTTTTTCTCGACTTCCATTTTTTGCCTTTTTCTTTTTTGGGGGCCCATTTTTGTGCAACAGCTTCACATTTGGCAATGAGCTTTTGAAGAAGAGCTTCCAATTCGGTTTCTCGTTCTTCTTCCTTAGAGCCGAAGACAATACTTTCAAGGGGTTCTTCTGCGGATTCGTCATAGTAGGCGTCGAATACTTCAGTTATGGTAGGTCTTGGTTGTCGAGACTTCGGGAGAACTTTCGGGACGGGGACTACAGAAGGTACTAGAGGTGGATTCAATTGGATATACGAGGACAGGTGCACAATATTATCTTCTCCTTCGTCATCGCCATCGGGGTTGTTATCCTGGCTAACATCTGTTAATATTTTAAAAAAATATTCTAGGGCCTGTGGGTCATAAAGACTACGGTCTCTTATGGTTTCATCAACTATTTCCTGGACTTCCACGATTTGTTCCTGGGTAAGTGTATTCAACAACTCCAAACTTTCTAGCTACATCGTTCTTATCTTTGGGCAGCTACTAATGTCATGGTTTTCTTTTCTACAATAGAGACACCAAGTCTTTCGTCGAGGCCTTTGTCTAGTCATTTTTATTGTTTGGGATTCAACTTTTCTTCGAGGTTGGTTACATATTGGCAAGGGGTAAATATCGTACATTTTTTTTTTTTTTTTTTTT